TAATGAGTTGGGGTGGCGGAGGTGTGACGATGTTTTCTCCTAAGAACTAAGGAGAGCGAATATATATCCCCGTTAGTAGGAAATGATATAAATTTCCTGACTGTAGCTGCTGGTATTCCTGATATGAAAATGTTGTATTGTAAATGATTTATCACATATAACTGCGCAACTTGTTCTGATGTGAATCTGTCTTGTTAGATGGATTTACTGGCGAAGTTAATTTAGCAATGAGGCCAATTAATTATTATTATTTTTTTTACGAAATGATTGTCGTTCCGTCTGGTTCAGCCGCACTTTCAAGGCACGTTACCAAAATGATTTATGGTGAGCAAAAAAATAAAAAGATATTAGAAAGGATAAAAACAGAAAAAATTACTATGCACAACATTCAAAAGGCTCGACGGAATATTTTCGTATCGTCTCTAGGCGTCAACGAATAAGTTTGTTTAGACATTGTTATGGCAAGGAACTTGGAGTATTTCTTTATTTTGGGAGTCGCTGAAAGTTACATCATTGGTATGAAAAGTATCATTGTTACATGTAGTCAATAAACGCTATATTCTGGAAGTTATTTATTATAATTCCATAATAAAATTGTATATGATTTTATATTCTAGAAGAATAATGTTAATGAATGTGCGTTACTTAAATAACTTCGGAAAGGTTGTTGCGTGAAAGCATATCATTAGTTGTGCTTCAGAAATTTTGTTATATAGCTGATTAACTAACAGATTATTCCTTTGGTTTGTTGGTTATGATGATTGGGGAATTAATCATTATTGGAATGTTATAAATAATTTTCAACTACTAGGTGATGAATTTAATTTGCTTTGTTCGCAGATAGAACAGCTGTCAACTTGCACGCTGCCGAGTCGGCGCAGTGGTCTGGTACGTGTCAGTGTCCCACAGGCCTTGAAGAAGGTATGGTGACGTCGCTGCTGTTGGATGATCAGTAGCAGTAATTGCTCACTTTGTCAATATATTTGCTAATGGATGGGACAATAGTGTTTCAAATTTGATTGTATATCTTGTGACACTTGCGAATGAGATCAATAACAGTTTATGGCTTTTGAAAAATTCTGAGATGCAAGAGTCCAACTGGCCTCACCTACCAGTATATACATCGTGCTGTTTAAAGTTTCAATGCAATTTAAACAAATTAGAAGCTGAGCAATAGATGGCGTTAATTGATCATTTGCAATTCTTTTGTTATTATGAATATAATCAAAATTAATAGAAAATAAACTAAATAATAATATCATATATTTGATGAAACAATGAAATGATCAAGAAAAAGAATCGATTGATCTCAGTCAAGTCGTCCACTGACCACTAATCAGCTAACGTTGTAGCTGTTATTGAACGTTGATTACATACGAGTACATGCAGCATACATCAGCTACAAATTTCACTATAGTCTCAATTAATTTCCTCTAATCTGCAGGGGCTCTGCCATCGTCACGCTGTCCGTCTGTGCCGTACGTGAGGAACTGAACTGACACCGGGAGTGCTTGAGTCAAATCTGCATTGAAGATAGTCTCGCGATTGTCGACTACGAATTTGTGATAGTCATTCATATTGTGACCATAACGGTTATTTGATGTTAGCTTCTGTAAAGAAATAGTGAAAAATTTCCTTGATACAACGAGAAGAATGTGTGCTTATTTGTCCACAAGAGCCATATGGCTATTCGGGACAAAATTGTTTGCCTGGCTATATCAAATTTTATTACTGGTAATCGGTTCTCTCTCTAACCGAGGCAATGCAGCAGCAGGTGCGTCATGCATCACAAACGATGACATCAACGCGTTGAAGTTGTTCATGACGGTGCGAGCTACCGGTCCTGTGGCCAAGCTATTCGCAGCTGTTTTCGAAAAATATCGCAATCATGGATCAAAAAATATCAAGGATTTTGGTTCTGGAAAGTGCAAAGTGAAACTCACTGAAAAAGAAAGATACGCGATACAGCGCGACACTCTGCAAGATTGTGACATCACGTTGCTGTACAAGCTCCTTCAGACATGCAAAAGCTTGGGTTCGGACACCAACTATAAGGACAAACCCCCAGGCTCTATTCAAAATAGTTTGTATCTCCTGAAAGAAAAGCGCAACTTCTTCTGCCATGAAGTAGTGCGATTGTCAGATATTGAACTGGACCTAATTATGACGAACATTCGCCAACTTTCAGCCAAAGTCTGTGACCAGGCATCACTTGATGTTGGTCTCAAGAAAGAGATCCTAAATAAGTTGAAACACATCCGCGATTCCCCTATACCGCAGTCTGAAATTACTGGATGTTATGATCAGATTAGAGAATCCAAAGAATACATCCAAGAAGGTATCCTGGCGGACAGCATTGAAGAGCTGAAGGAGAGATACAGCAGAATGCGCGTTATATCTCCCATTACGTGGTTTTCCAACATATGTTTGTTCGGATGGCTTCGCTGCTTATATCAAAGAACAACTGCTTCCAAATTCATTCGCCGAGGTACCTAAAGGCGAAGTCATTGGGATTTGCCGGAAAGCGAATCCCTTGTTCGTGTTCGATGGTTACGATGAAGCAGATGAAGCGGCACGGAATCTCATTAAGGAAATTCACCTCAAATTTGAATCTTCCAAGAAAATCATCACGTCAAGACCTCACATCTATTCAGAACTGTCAGCCAGCATTGGGGGGCATGACAGTCCAATGCTACAATTGGAAATAAATAGATTTGACTGGCGTTGCATCAAGGCTTTTTCTCTTAATCTATTTTCTGTACTAGGAAAGGCATCCGAAACAGAAAACTTCCTCAAATTCATTAAGCAACGGAAGAAAAAGCTACAATCCATCATCAGCCTGCCGCTGACTCTGGCTCTACTCATTATGCTTTGGATCGACGATAGCTCCAAGATTGACGAGTTATCTTCGGAGTGCCAAATCCACGTCGAGATTATCAAGATGATGAAGCGTCGATTGTCTAGGAGACTTGCTGATAATCCTAACGTCACAACGAATGTCATTGATAATTTTTTCCACTGTTTGGGGAAGATTGCTCTCAAAGGCATTGCAAAGAGACGACTCTTCTTGAAGGAACGGCACATAGAATTTCTTAAAACCGAGTTTGATGAAATCTTAGATAATTTTAAGGTCGAAGACGCTATGTCCTCCATCCTGCAGTGCGACACAAGCATCACCCTTTCTAGCTGCGAGAAGATTTGGTCCTTCATCCACACCACGCAACAGGAAATGATGGCGGCTCTCTACATCGTCAAAGAATTCGAAGAAGATGGAACTTTTGCTAATTGCTTGTCGTCGTTAGATGTAGAGAGTGAACAAATGAAAAACGTCATCCTATTTACGGTCGAAATTTTGAATAACAACGATTCGTTGACTAAAGAAAGCGCCAGGTTCATCGCTCCAGAGTTCCCCTTGTGCCCAGAAGATAAAAAAATCTTTATTAGTTCTATCCTCAAACTTATATATGACAATAAATTTTGTATTAAAGTATTCATAAAAAGACTTGGCAACATAACTGAAACTAAACTAAACTAAACTTTTTTCATAACTGAAAAAATATCTTTCAAATGCAGGCCAATCATAGACCATTTTTTAAGGCTAGAACTCATCAGCTGAAAAGTTAAAGCAACCATAACGTTCCAGAAAAGAAACATTGTTGTCGCTACAAGAAAATCTAATGTGGCTGGACGTATATCTGCCAGAGACCTCGAACTTACCCCACAATTTTTCAGTACATTTTTGACTGGGTTCTTCAAGGCTGCGAAGGGCGATTGTCAGACTGGCCTCTCATTCATCAACGGCTTATTGAAGTTTTCCATAGAGGTGTCACAGAAAGAGATAATTTAGAAACAGGACGCGATCCCTGCACGGAAAGGCGTAACGCGAAATTCGACTTTGATAAGATATTTGTGTGACGGTGGCTGGAATGATAAAAAATTCCCGCGTTCAAAATCTTGCTAGATCAAAGATGAAAGTCCCGCGTTCATTTCCCAATGGTTCACAGTTGTATTCTGTGCCTGTCAGTATAGAACTGAAAATGGCTTGGTGTGATAGTTGAACAACTACTTAGAATTGAAGATAATTCTTTGACGTTGTACGTAAAGCCTTGTCTGGGACTTGCACCTTTAGGGCAGTTTAGCGCCTTTAGGCCGCTCACTGTCCTTAACAGCGTCTCATTCTTAAGTCGCTCTCCGCCCTTAAACCTTTCATCTTTAGTCCGCTCACCATGACTAACCGCTTAACACTTTTAGGCGGATCACCACCTTTAAGAACCAAAGCCAGTCACGGATTGGGGGGTCGCTGTTGGTGCACGGCTTAGAAGGGCATAACGTTGACAAAGGCGTGGAATAAGGTGCAGGAATAAGCTTTGCAGAGCGAACGAGAGATCAGTGTAAGGGTACGCACACAGTGAAAGCAGGTTTGCCCGCGCGGGCAACCTGCTCCAACCTGCCACAAGAATGAACATAGGATAATAATGTAAGTGTTCACAGTGAAAACCTGTACGAATAGGCTTATGTATTCTATGGTTTCAGGCGCCAGCCTGAGCAGGTAACCAGCACGCTGGCAACCTGCTTTCACTGTGTGCGTACCCTAAGTGACGAGTTTGTTATAGTTAATGTCAGAAGGGCGGAGTTTGTTATAGTTCATGCCTTTATTTATTGCAGTAGAAATGTCGACTTGTGACAAGACTTCAATATGGTTTCACTTTCTTATTCTACTTGTAACTATGCTTTTCAAGATCTAGTCCGTATTTTGAATGCAAATTTTACGCTAGACGATTGAGCTATAATCTGTTGCGCTCGTTGCGAACTAGCGACTTGTTTCAACAATGATATAAAAGTTTTATAGTAACACCAGTGCGCGATGAAAAAAATCCTAAGATGAACTTGATGATTCCAAGTTCCAACAGACTTCTTCTTTTTGCGTTTCCCTCAATTCCGGGTGGAAAATTTCCCTGCGAATAATATACGTCCTGCTGCTAATTCTCTTATCGGAATCATCAACGTCCTGCTGCTAATTCTCTTCTCTTATCAGCGACCTGTTTCTGCATTTCCTTCACCACAACTTGCTTCCTTAAATTACTTTCGTTCTGTCTCAAGATGAGCGTCCAAATCATGGGATGTTCTACGCTGTGTAGGAGCAGCGGTCTTCACATGAAGCATTCAATTATGAATAAATTTTTGCTATTGGTACTAATAAGTGTAATATATTTTAGTTATATTTTAAGAAACTGATTGTTCCCGATAAAAATGTTCTCAAATTACATGCAATGTTACCGTTGCAGCAGCTTCAACTCTCCACATTCGTCTCAAGTCAATTCTGATTCGTTCTCTTTTTTCGTTCGGAAACCGCATGCAATCTTTTTGCTAGTCACCGTCTTATGTGGTATGGCCAAAGGTTATTTCAATTACTCACTTATCTACCCAGTTATTTGTCGGAAGTCTCAATTACTCACTTATCTACCCAGTTATTTGTCGGAAGTCTCAATTACTTACTTAGCTACCTAGTTTTTTGCCAGTAGCAAGTACAATTTTTTGTTATGATCAATTGTATGATATCTTGTGTTCATTCATTGTACTCATCCTTACTGCCAACACATGCATTACAATTCCTCTCTAATGGTCAGCCTGTGAGCTACCGTCGTCAGGCGTACGAGTTGCATAAAAATATAATAAATGGCATTCTGTGCCGGTATTGGTTTTATTATACCACGAACGCCCATTGAACTTGTAAACCTTATGGTATGTAAACCTTGTTACCTAGGTATGTAAACCTTGTTGAACTTGTTTGTGGGTGGTATGTAACCAACTTTTGTTGTTGGTAAAACGTTAAGTTGTTTCCACTTTTAATGCCTAAACAGACATAATTCCATTCAAATGTTGATAAAATAAAGGCCAACAATTTACGCAATTAATATAATGTAGTATAATCAAAGCTAAAAATTGTTAGAAATTTCTTCGGGGGACGCTAGTGCGTGACATGGAAGATGGAATTTATAGTCCTGACGAGTTTCGGCACCCAATATCTACGCTTTCATAGTTTGACTCACGTCTTTGTCTTTTGAAAACGGTTCTTTTTGTGAGAAAATTGCATTGTTAGAAGAATGCCGTTTAGATCCTCATCCTAACTTTGCTTGATTGACAAGCTCACCGTTGTGATATTTAAAACTCACTAAAATCATTTAGTTGAACGTGTTAAAAAATGTTTACCTTCGAAGTCGCAATAAGCCCTTAGACTCGTTCAAATTTCAAATGAGCAGTACAAGTATGAGTAAGTTCATTCAGCGATCAGCTCCATCAAGGTCTAGCCGCATTTCTGACGCTCAGGTATTTTAGAAAAACGATAAATTTTGCTTTGGTAATGAAAGGAATGTGAGATGAGCAAATTTATTACAGATGTATTGTGAGACTTCATGTGTCAATTTCATTAGGAAGGTGAAGCATATAACATCTTTTACTTTTCCTGCAGACTAGTGTTGTACGTAAGAAAATTAAATTAAAAACTCACACGCAACGGTCGCAATTAAAAAAGTAGTCGCAAGGAAAGAAATAGTTCAAGTCTAGGAAACAAGGATTTTGAAAACAAAGAAAACACCAAGCAAATTCACCATATCGATATTGAAAACGTTTCGGAGTCCGGCTCCATCATCAGTTCGAAAAAACTCCGAAACGTTTTCAATATCGATTTAGTGAATTTGCTTGGTGTTTTCTTTGCTTTCAAATTCCTTGTGAACGTGCGATATAAGCAGACTGATAATTAATATAAGCACTTATATAAGTCTAGGAAAGCTGAAGAGCAGTTTTCCAGAAAAAAAATAGAACCCTGGACGTCTGCGCTAATTAATTTTTGCTACGCACAACAGCGCAATGTTTCCAAACGTGGTAGTGTCAGATATGTCGTACAGTAAAGAGCTTCCAAATTTGATGTACACGCGGTTGGGCCCATCCAATTGCGGATGGTTCGGTGCCCACGTGAGGTCGGCTGACGGTACGACAACTCCTGTGCTCCAAGTGACGTAGGTGCCATTCGCCAGACGTACATCCACGAAGGCCATAAAGCTGACTCGTATGGCTAAGATCGCCTTTTCTGTTTAAAATGCATGGTTAAATATTAGAATATATCTGTAAATTACATATTTGCATATGTAATAAATCATATGTATATTAATTATTTCAGATAATTTAACAATTATTCTTCAATTAAATCGATCAAATTGTAGTTCTTCGTATTCGAAATTAAGTGGGACCATTACGATTTCAGCACGTATACTATATAAATATAAAAGACTACCACTAAGTTCAAACAACCGAACAATTAGTCACGTGACCATGGGCTCGATTAAGTGTTTCAGTGTTCTTTGTTTGATCCGCTTATGAATACTAAAAACGTTACTTTTGAACTAACGATCATCATAGTCGATTACATTGGAATATTTTTGAAGTTATTTCAAAACATACTTCAGCGTGTGAAATTTGTGAGGAAGGAATTTCTTGCGAGTAATGTGAAATTATATTATTTCCCCCTTAATAATGGCAGACTCACCAAGAGGGGAGCGCGGCAGCGGCGGAAGATCCATGCCCTTGTCCAAACACGCCTGACGCAGACCGCTGACATGCAATGAAACACAAGAATATCTTTTATTTTGTACAATTTTATGCATCGTGCCGTACACGGGATTAAATATTTTTATAGACATTAGTTAAGCCTACAGTTTTATTAAGTTTATGTTTACAGGATAAAAGCGCCAGGCTGGTCCAATGGATAAAAGCTGTTACTCACCTGATGGTGGTGTTACTCACCTGATGGTGGTGTTACTCACCCGACATTTCTTGTCACCAGTTGGGGGTACTCGAAAATGTGCAAGTCATCCTTAAGGGGGGCGCGCCGGTAGGCTGCCTTAGGTCTACTCAATACGGCGCCGGCAACGGATTCGTCCACCACCAGGAAACACGGCATCTGTGAGCAGACATAAAAATGTCCTTCAAAACTCTTAACCTTTTTAATATTTCCATCTTGGATATATTTTTCTTGTAATCATTTTACCACAAACATGACCTGCAAAACTATTTCCTATAAAACATGTTCTTTGTAAAGATTTATACACAAAAATTTTCCTCCTACACATGCTGTTAATAACCATGTCTTCGATGAACATGGCTCTCTTGAAAATAAGGTCTCTTCATTAACACGTCCGTCGTAGTGAAAATGTCCTATGAACGACTGTCATTTATTAAGATGTCCTCAATTACATTCTATCATTCAAAAATAATTTTTTAGCCGCCATGAATGTCCGGTGAAATATTGGATCGGCAAACTGAGAGGAGTAAGATTGTGCCATTAGCAATGCGCTTTTTACTCTGATATGAGTCACTCTATTAGAAGAAAGTTTTAATTGGCGTTACAAATAGTAAATTTTGATCTTTTCTGAAACATTTTTCGCAATTAAATAATAGTTTTGCGGAAAACTAAGAAAGCTTTTTTTTCTTGGGACAAAGATTTGAGTAACGGTTTGATGCATGCAGGTCAAGCGCATAATGCGTCATAAGTTATGACTCACATTTTTCAGAACCAAAATGCCCAGCTTGAGCTCTCAACAACAGAGTCGGAATTTTGTCTGTACATGTTAACACGCGAGGACCAACAAGAGCCGCACTATCAATAATAGTTACGAGTTCGTAACTCCGCCAGCCAATAACTGACGGTTTCTCAAGCTAAACCCACCAATCACAGACGCAAAAAAAAAAAATTTCTGGTACGACCTCTAATTACTATCGCTGCCTTGCGAAGTTATCAGAATAATAGTGCCAAAACTTTTAGGGGTCCGAAATTGCATCACTGCACGCCACGTACTGGCGTGACCTATAGAAATTAATGGAACTCGGGTAGTGCCAGAATACAAGTGAGTTGTATTAGAATTTATATGACCGACAAAAAATAAAGATTCCATAAAACGATGCTGATAAATGAAACTCGCTTACAAGGGGCTCATAAATGCATTTAATTGTCAATAACTGCTTAGGTTTTCGTGGAGACGAAACCTTCAGAGAAAGTTCATAGAGTTTCTGCGTATGAAATTGATTCATACAAATTCTTCACAACAAAGTGGGACGTTCATGAAAATATTTTAAAAATCTTTTGTAATTTTAGTAAAAGCTGTGTTAATGATGTAGGAGTAAGTCTTGCTTCACAGAATACCGATGATGCAAAAGTTCAAGTATTTTTAAAGGGACCGTTTCGTTCGTTAATCGAAAATTTTGGCTTCTCCGTTTTTTTGGCTCATTTTGTAGCTGCTGAAAAGGCGTGTCTGGCGCAGTAAACCGCATGTCTGTGCGTGCTCTAATTTTTGCTTAAAGCAATTTAAAAAATATATCCAATGAACATTTGTTAGGAATATGTACAAGGATAACTTTAAATTAAATCTGTATACATAGATCATTACTCCCGTTAATTGCAAAGTGTTTGCACTCGTTTGAAAGCTACAAACAAGACGTGTTCACCATTGCTACTACCATGGATGTACATACATGCAATAATTTTTGCGTAATGCTGTTATGAACTTATACACGTATAAAATAAATATTTTTATATATATCAATATCACAAAAGTCACATATATAGCTTATTACTCACTTTAAACTGGACAAGAATAGGGTAACATGGGGCAGCGAGCCCAATGCGGGTCATGGGCCCATAGCGGGTTTCTCGCTAGGTATGGCAGATATTGGTCCGTGTTCTCTACAGCCGGCCGACAGTTTCACTGGGATGAAGTGTACGGATTTACGTTTTGCTAAGTGTTTGCGTTATTAAGTTATTTGTGAATAACTGTTTTAACCCAGATATAAATTTTTTGCGGCTAAATAAAATTTTTTTCGATTACTGTAGATGAAGCTTTTGAAATTACTGTGAATTATATTTTGAAAGTAATATTTATAGGGATAATTTTGAGATCTAGCTTTTTGAATTACAAATTACACTTCATATTGCATGATTTTTTGATTTGCTGCCTCAAGGCAGCAGGTTTAGTTTCTAATTATGCGTATGTATGACCCCTTATCGAGTTATTGACTCTTGCCTTGCCAAAAGTTGACTTCAGTCAACACCAATGAGCCAAAAGTTGATGAGTTTTTATGGTGCTGGCTTAAATCACGATTAGGTACGAATTCTATGCGCATAATATCTGGATTATGGACGAAACTGGAATGAAGTTTTTTTCTGATCAACTAAATATATTTTTTCTAATCAAGGATACATTTTTTCATGTCAAGGACGAATTTTTTATCGCAAGAATATATTTTTCATGTCAAGGATATATATTTTTGTGTCAATGAAATATTTTTCTTCACGTCAGTGATAGATTTTTTTAACCAAGAGTATATTTTTTTCAAGTTAAGGATATGATTTTTTTGAGTTGTTAATAAATGAATGAATGTCATATTTTTTATTACATTTTTCTTATTTTTAACTGTAAAGTGTTGTTTTATCATATTTAAACAAAAAACATGCAATTGTGGTAAAGAGACCAAGGGTGGGCGCCTTGCCCCAAGCCCATGGGCCCATTGCCCCAGGGGTGGGGGGCGGCGCGCAATGGGCCCATTTTGACACTTTTTACAAAATAGTGTTTCATTAAAAATTGAATAACTCTATAGGCGTCTAACTCAGATCATACATTCCTCATTAGTTGTACCTTTAAACAAAACAAAGAAGCACCTCGTATCAATTAAAACTTAATCATAAATTTATTTAAAAAAGGGTTGTCACCCGTTGTCACCCGTAAAAAAAAGCGCGTTGTCACCCGTTGGTGACAACGCGCTGCCCCATGTTGCCCTAAGTCTAAAGACGCGTGCTGGCACCCTATGTGCAACAAATTGGCAATGGGAGAGCTTGGGCTACAATATCAAACAATTATTTGCAATAACCTCCTTTTTAAAATAAATTTTACTTATTTGGCTCACCTGAACAATTAAAATTTCCAGAATGCGCTATCCTGAAAATCTATGTCCAATGATTTTCAAGCTACAGCAAAAAGAGATATACCATTCGATTTGTAGAGAAAAATTCTTTAGAAACCATCCAATCATTTTTTTATTTCGTTATAGTTTGAATTATATATTGGAAAAGGGGGTCGCGGGCAGGGAAAATTGGAAATTTTGGGATGGAAAAAGGATCGGATGGATTTCAGATATGGTCCTTTCGAATCGAATGATATGTATCTCGATGTCGTAGCATGTTTAATGAATAAGGAGATAGATTTCTACAGTCCCCCTTTTCCGACGTTTTCTATCAATTTCACGTTTTCTTTCATTTTTCCGAAAAAAATTACACAAACAAAAAAGTCATCGATTTCTGTTTTACATATGTGTACCAAGTTTCAAAATGATCCATCCGTAAATAAAAAGTTTTTTTGCCCGAAACGGTCCCCTTAATGCAATATCATTAATGCAATAAAAAAATGCAATAATGCAATAAAAATTAATAATGCCTTAATGCCTTAATAAAAGGCATTAATAATAATGCCTTAATAATAATGCCTTAATGCCTTAAATAATGCCTTAATGCAATAAAAATATCATTTCCCTCATCCATAATTTAATCTGTCACTAAATGAATCGCAAGCATTTTTCTGAAACATTTGGTAACGAAATAGATGCATTCACGTCGTAGAAGAATGTCATGAATAATGAAGATCGAGCTGCTGCATAAAGTATTAAATGCTAAGAGCGAAGAGCGAAAATATGCGTTTACCTGGCTATGGAGGGTGGTCTACAATCCTATCCTACTTAAGTGCGATTAAAAGCTTAACTTAAACAAGTAAATCTAAAGTTTATCTAACACGAATAATCTTGCACAAATCTTAATTCGCCATTTCAATGGAGTTTCAGTTGAATTTTGGTCATCAAAATTATGCATAGATATCGTATCTCAAACCACGGCCGAGCGTCTGACAAATGATCGCTGAAGTCGACCACATCACATTGAGCGTCTCACCTCTACTGTGGTGTAAACCTTTCAGTTTTACTGGACCCTCATCACACACACTCACCATACTCAGCACACTCATCACCCAGACTCATCATACTCATCACCCAGACTCATCACACTCATCACCCAGACTCAACACACTCGTCACCCAGACTCAACACCCTCATTCCATCACTTATTACCAACACTCACCACTCTCATTAAACTCATCACCCACATTCACCCTAACACTCACCACACTCACCCCAACACTTACTATATACATTCACCCCAATACTAAACTCACTCAACATACTCACCGCACTCACCCCAACACTCACCCCAACACTCACCCCAACACTCACCCCAACACTCACCCCAACACTCACCCCAATACTCACCACCCTATCGTCCCACACGAAGCCCCCACAGACGTCGCTAGCGGCGCACTGTCTGGCGCAGATCATGGCGGTGTCTGCCTCGTAGTCCGACAGGGTCCACAGAGAAAGAAACTCGCCGCTCACCAGAGTGAACATGACGCTAGCCACTGCCGTCATCTTGATGCGAAAACTGGGATTCTAAAAAAAACAATTCTTCGCCAAACTTCAACGTTAATTTGCATAACCTAATCAATTTCGCGAGCCCTCTAAAAGAAACTCGATTCATTTTTTAGCCTTAAATCTAAATCCATAAGATGAAAAACAATATATTTCATGAAGCATGCAATCTGATTCGAACGTATTGGACATGGCAATAAATTTTTCTGAGAAAGTTAATAGTCATGATCGTTCCCTTGTTACGAACTGACGATATCGCGATGTTTTTATATACAATGGCTAAAAGTAACTACATAGGCAGCCTCTCAACTTTCCAGTACACGATTATTCTCAGTTCTGGTGAAACATTTTGCCAGCACAAAAAAAAACTCTTGTTAGAAGGCTGAGTTGAAGCACGCCCAGACGAGCAAGTTAAACCGGAGTTATTTGGAAATTTTTTACGGCTTGTCTCTCTGAGCAATTGATTGTAATTATTAATTTTTCTGTTTAAAACCAATTATCACATTTAAATTTAATGTGCGTGCGCTTACTCAAGTTTCAGACCTAGTGATATTATTGTACATGTACAATATTTACTGTGGATTCGCGTTCGAGAAAATCCTAAATACTTCCAATCTCATTCACTCGACAACTTAGCGACGTCCGATTTGATCTTCGCCTGGCGAAAAACTATCGTATTTCTACTGCCATGATATTTTTGAAACTAAATTCATGGAAATTCGTGTAACTAAATTCATGAAACTTCCATTTAATTCATTCATTAAATGGAAGTTTTCATGAATGATGCCACCAGATTCATGCACGGTATCAAAGATACAATTGTGACGCACGACCAACAAATGACGTCAATATTTTTCAGTGGAGGTGAAGGTATTAAAATATAAAGATTTGGTGATGTTTGCGGTGCTGGGTATCAAACCAACATACGCGCATCAAATAGTTGTTATCATTAGCATACAATGGTAGGAATAAACATTATTCTAAATGAAAGGCGATGAAATAAACATGTGCGTGAATGATGAATTCAATCATTAAATTTCATAATTTATTTCAAGCGACGTGTTTTTAACTGGATTAACTTTGAATATATAGTTGTTTTCAATACTAAAAAAAATTAAATTCACGCAAAATTAACCCTTATTGACATCCTTAGAATTTTGTGCTCGGAATGTTTTGTTTGACCAGTAGCAGGTTAACCAGACTGGTTACAGCTGCAGATAATACCAGAGTAACGGGAAATCGTAACAAGTTAACATTGTTCAGTAAAGAAAGCTCGGCCTGTTAGAGTAACGAGTGTGGCACGTAAACAAAGCAAGTTTTACCAGAATATCGTGGGAACTAAATGCGGTATTTAAAACACGCGTGATTGGTAACCTGCGTTGCCGGTTACCAATCACGTACTTGTGTACAATCAGTACTGATTGTACCGATTGATTGTACACAAGATTTAATCACGTACTTGTGTACAATCAGTACTGATTGTACCGATTGATTGTACACAAGTACCAATCACGTACTTGTGTACAAGCAGTACTGATTGTACCGATTGATTGTACACAAGTACCAATCATGTACTTGTGTACAATCAGTACAATCATTTTAACTCAGAGGTGCCCGGTAACGTCACCGTTTCTGCTGAACGCCCCGCGGCAAATGCGCGGTACGTGGCCTGAGAACCATTGCGGTGCACCAATAGATCACGATGGCAACCATAAACAAACAGCGGATGGTTGGTGACAACGCCCTCCATGCGCTTCTACGATTGGTTGTGTGCGCGGTTCCTCCACGTGCTAATTAAATTCTTGGCCTTTTATTTCAAGGCTGGTTCTTGTAGACGCGGCTTAGAGTTCTGTCTTTTCAGTGCGCACTTAAAAGTGAAGAAAACTCAGCAACTTTGGAAAGATTAATATTTATTTTGTGAAAACGATGTAAAAAACTATAGCATATATTTATATTTAGACACGTTATCGCTATACATTGTATGTATGCAAAGTAATAAATAAGAATTACTTACACCCTTTACTACAATCTATTTGTTTTAATAAAGGAGTATTTGATTGAATTAGAACAACATTATATAACAATATCAAAAAGAACATCGCGAAAAATGTTCTGAAATATAAGTTCACTACGTTAGATAATAGCAATGATGTATGTTCTAATAAATAGATAACGAACCATTTAATTATTTTCAGCAGACTGTTCTAGAAAACTTATAATTTTCAAGCAAAATCTTCCCATCTATATGTGGCTTTGGGCTTCTATATTGGAAGCGTCGGCACCCGTCTCATAATCTGATTTATTGGTTAATCGTCGATTGAAAACACAGATTGGTAATATAACCTCTTAGATGAAAAACTTGTCTTCCTACATAAATTCTTATTAATATTTTTGAATAGATGCATATCAATTCGAGGGTGGAATCTAAATCTGAAAACGTACCAACTATATCATACGTAATTAAACAATCCCAGTTTTATTAATATGCCAAATGATAATAGATTTATTGAAATATAAAGTAGTAATTTGTTTATAAATAATGATAGAATAAAAGAGCTTTCAAGGTACAAGATATCTTATTGTACAAACGTTAAATATTACTTGGATTCAAAATAATAAATTATTTCATGCGAGGTATATAACAATCTAGACGCTCCTTGCTAGTATCGTCTGACCACCTGATTGGCCCACTATAGTTTCATCGTTCGTCCTCAGCTTCGATTGGTCGCAAGAATGCAAATATTAGCGTACGATCGCTCGTATTACTGTCGTGTCGACGTGGCATAGCAATTGGTTCATCTATCATAGCAAACTTTGCTCTTAGAACGAAAATGTATTCCTCCGAACACATTGCCTCAGGTTCCATTCATTTTACCCCTGACTAAAGCTAAAAACTTGACCAAAGGCTCGTCCATTTGTGGCGGACCAAAGTTTCAGCTGTTAGCCTCAATTGCTGTAAAAGTTGTTGCAGTTAGCGACAAGAACTTAGGCATCGAAGCTCATTTCTAGGCAGAGAAATGCATGTGGTGACTGTGCATATGAACACATAAAAGATATCATTCTATATCTCTCGTCTCTTCTTGATATAAATTGCATATTCCTACATCTCAAAATATTCAGTAAGTAGTTTAATTATTGAATGTAGTTGAAGAATGTAAGGTAATTGTTACAACACTATTGTCACTATACAGAACCTACAGATGATGGTTTGTATGATGTTTGACGGAGACGAACTTAACGTTCGGTAATTTGTGGCACAAAGTTTTGTTCGAAAGCTTTTAGCACAGCGATTGCATATCATCAACGGATGAGGCCGCATGTCATGCCGCCAAATATCATGAAACTGACGATACTGCGGACACTGAATTCGTCCCGGATATTTGTCAGGAGTAACTGTCTCTTGGCACATGATTCATTTTATGACAAGGATTGCAACATGCGCTACATTTTTGTTTCACATGGAATCTAAAAATAACGAAAACAATAACGAAACCACATCTTCGCTGAAAACATTTCGAAGACCTGCTCTATCATCTGTAAAATCAATCTTATAAAAAAATCATGTGGGAAATGGATTACGCTTAACAATGATGGGATAAAAAAATTGGCATAAAGATCGTGTAATAAATGAATACAATTACGAATGGCCGCTTACCTTCCATGGATTCGCTTCTTCTTGGGTTTCTTCGAGGTAACTTACGGGAGTAATGGCTTCAGAATTGGAATAAGGAGAATTACTTATACAGAAAGTTAGTTAAGCAAGGTACATTGACGATCCTCGTGAAAATGTTGCTGTTGTATATTGATTAGCATTATGAATAATTTGCTGGGGTATATTGACGAACATTTGAAATATGTTTCAGGAAATGTCTCAGTATTTCGGATTTAAACTTGTGCTTTTAAACTCTTTATTTAAACTGGCGACAAATTGAGGGGCAAGCGTTTGATGTGAAACCGAGCGAACCACCAAATGAGAATAACCTTACTAATTTTCATGACGAAATAGCGTTTAAATTTAATATTTCAATTATATTCGATAGATTTTATTTTCTGCCTTTTTGCATTTTTCATTGTAAAATTTATTCTACTCTCTGTATTGCTCTCGTATTAGTGTAGCGGATCGCTTGTACCTAACTTTGTGTTAATTTTAATAATTTACCAGATCGTGGTGCAATACATTGTTTGTTGCAAGTTAGTTATACGTGTATTTCTAATATAGGTTTTAAGTCGCCTTGACGCTTACTATGCTTTGTCTGGTTGGAGAGGTTAAACTTCGTGAAAAAGTAAGCTGTAAGTTGAGTTATGGATTAAAATACTAATAGTTGACGGGCGAATGTTTTTCTGTACGTGTTGCATGATAGTGAGCAATTTGTACACAAATGAAGATGCTTTTAACAATGTAGGATGAGAAAAGTTATACTGCGGACAAAAAAGGAGCAGAAAAAAGCGGTCAACACGCAGGCAGCGGTTTACGAATATCGGGGTGTAAGATTTCATCCTCCCTGATAACAGTTGAAATAAAAAGTTTACATAATTTATCTTTATGTCTACGTATTAAAAATAATTAGCAAGGATAGCATTCCAAATTTCAGACTTATATCTTATTTATGAGGGGTCGATATTTTTTAATCGACTTTGCTGAGATACGATTATTTGTGTTGCGGTGGCTGGAAGATCAAAAATTGAGAAAGTCCCACGTTCATTTCGCAGTGGTAGTCTGTGCATGTCAGTATAGAACTGAAAATGGTTTGGTTTGAAAGTTGAACAACTACTTAGAATAATTGATGATAATTCTTTGACTTTGTACGTGAAGCCTTGTCCGGGACTTGCACCTTAATTAGGGCAGCTTAGCGCCTTTGAGTCGCTCATAGTCCTTAACAGCGTCTCATCCTAAAGCCGCTCTCCGCCATTAAACGCCCCATCCTTCGGCTTCGAAAGCCCTTGAACGTTGCTCGTTTAGTCCGCTTACAACCATTAACCTCATCACACTTTTAGGCTGATCTTTATCTTAAAGAACCAAAGCCGCGGATTGTAGTGTTCGCTGTTAGTGCACGGCTTAGAAAGGGCATAACATTGACAAAGGCGAGGAAGCGGGTGCAGGCATAAGCCCTGCAGAGCAAACAGAGATCAGTGTAAGTGATGTCGAGTTTGTTATTGTTCATTTCAGAAGGGCGGTAACCGGCACGGGATCGTTTGCAGTGCCATTATTTATTGCAGTAGAAATGTCGACTTGTGACAAAACTTTAAAAAGGTTTCACTTTTTTTATTGTACTTGTAACTATGCTCTTCAAGATCTAGTCCGTATTTTGTATGCAAATTTTACTCGTTAAGAACTAGACGATTGAGCTATTATCTGTTGCGCCGTTGCGAACTAGCGACTTGTGTTAGCAATAATATAAAAGTTTTATAGTAACACCAGTGCGCGATGAAAAAAATCCTAAGATGAACATGATGATTCCAATTTCCAACAGACTTCTTCTTTTTGCGTTTCCCACAATTCCGGGTGGTAAATTCCCTTGCGAATAATCAACGTCCTGCTACTAATTCTCTTATCAGTGACCTGTTTCTGCATTTCCTTTACCACAGCTTGCTCCCCTAAATTACTTTCGTTCTGTCTCAAGATGAGCGTCCAAATCATGGGATGTTCTACGCTGTATAGGAGCAGCGGTCTTCACATGAAGCATTCAATTATGAATAAAGTTTTACTATTGATTCTAATAAGTGTAATATATTTTAGTTATATTTTAAGAAACTGGTTGTCCCCGATAAAAATGTTCTCAAATTGCATGCAATGTTACCGTTGCAGCAGCTTCAACTCTCCACATTCGTCACAAGTCAATTCTGATTCGTTCACTTTTTTCGTTCGGCAACCGCATGCCATCTTTTTGCTAGTCACCGTCTTGTGTGGTATGGCCAATGGTTGTTTAATTAAATTACTTATTTATCCACCCACTTATTTGTCGGAAGTCTCAATTACTTACTTAGCTACCTAGTTTTTTAACCCAGTGGCAAGTACAATTTTTTGTTATGATCAATTTTATGATATCTTGTGTTCATTAATCGTACTCATCCTTACTGCCAACACATGCATTACAATTTCACGCTGTTGGCCAGCTAATGTGAGCTACCATCGTCAGGCGTACGAGTTGCATATTAAATATAATAAATGTCGTTCTGTGCCGAATATTGGTTTTATTATACCACGATCGTTCGTCGAACTTGGAGACCGTCGAGGGTGGTATGGAACAAACTTTTGTTGTTGGTAAAACGTTAAATTGTTTCCACTTTTAATGCCTAAACAATTAGACATAATTCCATTCAAATGTTGATAAAATAAAGGCTACCAAATTACGTAATTAATATAATGTGATATACTCAAAGCTAAAAATTGTTAGAAATTTCTTCGGAGGGACGCTAGTGCGTGACATGGAATGATGGAATTTATAGGCTTGACGAGTTTCGGAACCCAATAAATTCTTAAGACTTAGGTAACATCGCAACATAGAGATTGTAACCCGATACTAGTATCACTACCACTTGTTCGCACNCGTACTAAATTTCAAGAAAGAGGCGTATGTCTGTGGGGGGCGCTAGAAATTCACTAGGGAGCCAAAGGGGGCGCCAGCCTGAAAAAGTTTGGGAACCACTGCTCTACACGTTCCGCCTTGTCTGCGCACTTCGTCGAAATCTATGCTCTGTAGCTCAGATATCGCTGCAACTGTGCAGTCTTCCCGCCGGCTTCAAAACTGTGCTGTTTTCCCGTCCACACGCAACGTTTTAACTGCCACGGTTAGAACTGCTCAGACAAATAGTTGTGTACAACTGAGCGTGTGGACCGGCCTATATACAATATACCTATGGTATAGTAAGCAATACTATGTATTTATTTCATTGCCTAACCCTCTTTCTCATCGATCTCCTTTCTCATGCATACACGATCCGTCACTATATTTATTAACCATTCAGAATATCGAGGTGATGAAGGATGATAGTGCATCTTCCGCCGGCAATATCTTGTGTTATACTAAGTATAACTTGAGCATTGCTCTACTTTAGTTGAGGCGGCGTATTAAGTGGAAGTGACGGAGGTGTGGGAATAGTTTTCTCTCTTAGAAGAGCGATTATTCAGCCCCGTTAGTAAGAAATGAAATGAATTTTTCGACTGTAGCAGCTGGTTTTTCCTGATATGAGTATATGTTGCCTTGTAAATGATTTATTACATATATCTGCGCTACTTGTTCTGATGTGAAGCTGTCTTGTTAGATGGATTTCCTGGAGAAGCTAATTTAACAATAAGGCAATTGGATTATTAATATTATTCTACGAAATGATTGTCGTGGCGTCTGGTTCAGCCGCACTTCCAAGGCTCGTTACCCATAACTTTGATGGTGAACAAAAATAAAAAGATACGAGAAATGATAAGAGAAAAAATGACTATGCACAACATTCCAAGGCTCGACACAATAGTTTCGTCATTAGGCGTCGACAAAAAAATTTTTCATACGTTCTCTAGACAACGTTTTATTTTATTTTTTAATGTTTATTTTAGGAGTCACTGAATATCTGTTTAAATATTCTCGGTTCTCAGTTAGTTAATCAGTTATATAGCTGATTAACTGGTAGATTATTCCTTTAGTTTAATGGTTATGATGATTGGAGAATTATTCATGATTACATAATTTCGACTACTAGGTGATGAATTACATTTGATTTGTTCGCAGATAGAACAGCTGTCAACTCGCGAACTGTCGAGAGTCGACGCAGATCGTCACTCGTCAGTGTCCCGCAAGGCGTGAGGAGTGAAGGGTGAAGTCGCTGCTGTTGGATGATCACCAGCAGGAATTGCTCACTTGTAAGTACCTTTGCTAATGGATGGGACAGTCGTGTTTCAAACTTGATTGTATATCTTGTGGCACTTGCGAATGAGATCAATAACATAAAATTCTGAGATGCAGGAGTCCAACTGGCCTGGGCCTATACTCTCAAAAAAAGTTAAGAGATCGTAAGTTCATCAGCCAATCATTGACGACCTATCAAGGAAAATCCACCAATCATAGAAAAGAAAAATAGATCGTAAGTATTTACGTTCACTTGGCGAGTTTTGAAAGTATGGCCCCTGACCTACAATTCTAAACTTCGTGTTATTAAAAGTTTCAATGAAATTAGAAACTGAGCAATAGATGGCGTCAATTGATCTTTTTGCTATTATGAATATAACCAGAATTCAAAATTACGAGAAAATAAAGTTAAGATTAATATAATATCATATTTTATGAAACATTGAAATGATTAAGCACAAAAATCGACTGATTTCAGTCGAGTCCATCACTGACCACTAATCAGCTAACTTTGTAGCTGTTATTGAACAGTGATTGCATACGAGTACATACAGCATGTATCAGCTGACAATTTCACTTTCATTTCAATTAATTTCCTCTACTCTGCAGGGCTCTCCCTTCTGCCATCGTCACGCTGCGCGTCTGCGCCGTACGCTAGGAACTGAACTGACACCGGGATAGTCATTCATATTGTGACCATAACGGTTATTTGATGTTAGCTTCTGTAAAGAAATAGTGAATGACATCATAACCCTTCTGCCTGGATGCGACTTGACCACGTTTCGCTATATACTCTGATCAATTCCAGACGACAGTTCTTAGGTTAAGTCGTGCGTTTGACAAGAGAAAAGTCTATTAGAAAACCCTGTAAATATATCATATATCGAAATTATATCGAGAAGAATGAGTGACTATTTGTCCCCAAGAGCAGCAGATGCGTCATGCATCACAAACGATGACATCAACGCGTTGAAGTTTTTCATGGCGGTGCGAGCTACCGGTCCTGTGGCCAAGCTATTCGCAGCTGTTTTCGAAAAATATCGCGATCCTGAATCAAAAATTATCGAGGATTTTTTTTGTTCTGAAAAGTGCAAAGTGAAACTCACTGAAAAAGAAAGATACGCGATACAGCGCGACACTCTGCAAGATTGTGACATCACGTTGCTGTACAAGCTCCTTCAGACATGCAAAAGCTTGGGTTCGGACACCAACTATAAGGACCAACCCCCAGGCTCTATTCAAAATAGTTTGTATCTCCTGAAAGAAAAGCGCAACTTCTTCTGCCATGAAGTAGTGCGATTGTCAGATGATAAACTTGACTCATTTATGACGAACATCAGCAAACTTTCAGCCAAAGTCTGTGACCAGGCATCACTTGATGTAGCTCTCAAGAAAGAGATCCTAAATGAGTTGAAACACATCCGCGATTCCCCTATACCGCAGTCTGAAATTACTGGATGTTATGATCAGATTGAAGAATGCATCCAAGAAGGTATCCTGGCGGACAGCATTGAAGAGCTGAAGGAGAGATACAGCAGAATGCGCGTTATATCTCCCATTACGTGGTTTTCCAACAACGATTTGCAGCAACTCACCATCGACAAGGTATTCACCAAATTCACTATGAGTCACAGCAGCACCAGCGTTGACATAGGAAAAGTTTTCGTGGTTAAATACGACCACGGAGCCGACTGTTCAACAGTTGTCATCACCGGCATTGCAGGTTCTGGTAAAACATCGCTGTGCAGGTTCATCATTTACAGCTGGTCAGGACAAACCGGCGAGGTGGAGAAGCTGGACGACTGCAAGCTGCTGATTTTAATAGATTGCCGAAATGTTTGTTCGGATGGCTTCGCTGCTTATATCAAAGAACAACTGCTTCCGAATTCGTTCGCCGAGGTACCTAAAGATGAAGTCATCGGGATTTGCCGGAAAGCGAATCCCTTGTTCGTGTTCGATGGTTACGATGAAGCAGATGAAGCGGCACGGAATCTCATTAAGGAAATTCACCTCAAATTTGAATCTTCCAAGAAAATCATCACGTCAAGACCTCACATCTATTCAGAACTGTCAGCCAGCATTGGGGGGCATGACAGTCCAATGCTACAATTGGAAATAAATAGATTTGACTGGCGTTGCATCAAGGCTTTTTCTCTTAATCTATTTTCTGTACTAGGAAAGGCATCCGAAACAGAAAACTTCCTCAAATTCATTAAGCAACGGAAGAAAAAGCTACAATCCATCATCAGCCTGCCGCTGACTCTGGCTCTACTCATTATGCTTTGGATCGACGATAGCTCCAAGATTGACGAGTTATCTTCGGAGTGCCAAATCCACGTCGAGATTATCAAGATGATGAAGCGTCGATTGTCTAGGAGACTTGCTGATAATCCTAACGTAACTTCGAATGTCATTGATAATTTTTTCCACTGTTTGGGAAAGATTGCTCTAAAAGGCATTGCAAAGCGACGACTCTTCTTGAAGGAACGGCACATAGAATTTCTTAAAACCGAGTTTGATGAAATCTTAGATAATTTTAAGGTCGAAGACGCTATGTCCTCCATCCTGCAGTGCGACACAAGCATCACCCTTTCTAGCTGCGAGAAGATTTGGTCCTTCATCCACACCACGCAACAGGAAATGATGGCGGCTCTCTACATCGTCAAAGAATTCGAAGAAGATGGAACTTTTGCTAATTGCTTGTCGTCGTTAGATGTAGAGAGTGAACAAATGAAAAACGTCATCCTATTTACGGTCGAAATTTTGAATAACAACGATTCGTTGACTAAAGAAAGCGCCAGGTTCATCGCTCCAGAGTTCCCCTTGTGCCCAGAAGATAAAAAAATCTTTATTAGTTCTATCCTCAAACTTATATATGACAATAAATTTTGTATTAAAGTATTCATAAAAAGACTTGGCAACATAACTGAAACTAAACTAAACTAAACTTTTTTCATAACTGAAAAAATATCTTTCAAATGCAGGCCAATCATAGACCATTTTTTAAGGCTAGAACTCATCAGCTGAAAAGTTAAAGCAACCATAACGTTCCAGAAAAGAAACATTGTTGTCGCTACAAGAAAATCTAATGTGGCTGGACGTATATCTGCCAGAGACCTCGAACTTACCCCACAATTTTTTAGTAAAATTTTGACTGGGTTCTTCAAGGCTGCGAATGGTGATTGTCAGACTGGCCTCGCATTCATCAGCTGCATATTGAAGTTTTCCATGGAGGTGGTACAGAAAGAGATTAGAATTTAGAAACATGTTACCCTGCACGGAAAGGCGCAACGCGGAAATCGACTTTGCTGAGATACGAGTATTTGTGTTGCGGTGGCTGGAAGATCAAAAATTGAGACAGTCCCACGTTCATTTCACAGTGGTATTCTGTGCATGTCAGAATAGAACTGAAAATGGCTTGGTTTGAAAGTTGAACAACTACTTAGAATTGATGATAATTCTTTGACTTTGTACGTGAAGCCTTGTCCTGGACTACAAGCTCGAGGGTAGCGACTGGCCGAGCTTTGGGCAGATCAAGGATTTTACACGATGGTCGCGAAAACCTGCCTCTCAGACTTCGCTGCATTTTGACTACAAGCTTAACAGCTAGCGTCGCATCCTAAAGCCGCTTTCCGCCATTAAACCCCACATCCTTAGGCTTCGAAAGCCCTTGAACGTAGCACGTTTAGTTCGCTCACCACCCTTAACCACGGAACACTTTAAGGCTGATATCCACCCTTAAGTAGCACAAAGTCACGCTTGGTGCACGGCTTAGTAAAGGCATAACGTTGACAAAGGTGAGGAATTAGGTGCAGGAATAAGCCTTGCAGAGCGAACAGAGATCAGTGTAAGTGACGAGTTTGTTATAGTTCATGTCAGAAGGGCGGAGTTTCTTATAGTTCATGCCTTTATTTATTGCAATAGAAATGTCGACTTGTGACAAGACTTTGATATGGTTTCATGTTTTTATTGTACTTGTAACAATGCTCTTCAAGATCTAGTCCGTATTTTGTATGCAAATTTTATTCGTTAAGAACTAGTTGATTGAGCTATAATCTGTTGCGGCCGTTGCGAACTAGCGACTTGTTTTAACAATAATATAAAAGTTTTATTATAACACCAGTGTGCGATGAAAAAAATCCTAAAATGAACATGATGATTCCAATTTACAATGGACTTCTTCTTTTCGCCTTTCCCTCAATTCCGGGTGGAAATTTTCCTTGCGAATAATAAACGTCCTGCTGCTAATTCTCTTATCGGAATCATCAACGTCCTGCTACTAATTCTCTTATCAATGACCTGTTTCTGCATTTCCTTCACCACAACTTGCTTCCTTAAATTAGTTTCGTTCTGTCTCAAGATGAGCGTCCAAATCTGGGATGTTCTACGCTGTATAGAAGCAGCGGTCTTCACATGAAGCATTCAATTATGAATAAAGTTTTGCTATTGGTACTAATAAGTGTAATATATTTTAGTTATATTTTAAGAAACTGATTGTCCCCGATAAAAATGTTCTCAAATTGCATGCAATGTTGCCGTAGCAGCAGCTTCAACTCTCCACATTCTGCACAAGTCAATTATTCTGTTTCGTTCACTTTTTTCGTTCGGCAACCGCATGCCATCTTTTTGCTAGTCACCGTCTTGTGTGGTATGGCCAATGGTTGTTTAAATTACTTACTTATCTACCCAGTTATTTGCCAGAAGTCTCAATTAAGTACTTAGCTACCTATTTTTTGTCGGAAATCTCAATTAATTACTTAGCTACCTATTTTTTGTCGGAAGTCTCAATTAATTACTTAGCTACCTATTTTTTGTCGGAAGTCTCAATTACTCAATTATCTACCCAGTTTTTTGCCGTATGTCTCAATTACTTACTTAGCTACCTAATTTTTCCCAGTGGCAAGTACAATTTTTTGTTATGATCAATTTTATGATATCTTGTGTTCATTAATCGTACTCATCCTTACTGCCAACACATGCATTACAATTTCACGCTGTTGGCCAGCTAATGTGAGCTACCATCGTCAGGCGTACGAGTTGCATATTAAATATAATAAATGTCGTTCTGTGCCGAATATTGGTTTTATTATACCACGATCGTTCGTCGAACTTGGAGACCGTCGAGGGTGGTATGGAACAAACTTTTGTTGTTGGTAAAACGTTAAATTGTTTCCACTTTTAATGCCTAAACAATTAGACATAATTCCATTCAAATGTTGATAAAATAAAGGCTACCAAATTACGTAATTAATATAATGTGATATACTCAAAGCTAAAAATTGTTAGAAATTTCTTCGGAGGGACGCTAGTGCGTGACATGGAATGATGGAATTTATAGGCTTGACGAGTTTCGGAACCCAATAAATTCTTAAGACTTAGGTAACATCGCAACATAGAGATTGTAACCCGATACTAGTATCACTACCACTTGTTCGCACAAATGAAAACTGGAATTCGATGGCATATATGTCTGTGCAAAATTGTACCGTAATAGCTGACGTAAAATAAAAATCCGCTGTCAACTTGACCCACCTTAACTGTCATCAACACCCACGTGGTGACCAGCGCTCCCGCTGCCTGAAGGCTTGTTTCCCACTTCACTGAGCACGCAGAGAAATAGGTCAGACGTTGTCTGAATAGCGGTGCGACTTTTTATCCTTCTGAGGGTCAATCCTGACAGTTGTTCCCGTAAAAAAAACGTATCAACGCTGCATTGGTAAAGTGCGTCCTCATTTCGACAATATGACCCATGTATTTTTTATTACAACACTTCTCTTAAACTTCACTTCTCGTTGCTTGTCTGTCTGCTACAAATCTTATAATCGATATTTAACACACCAATTTTTTATTTCTACCTCTGCAATCGATCTGAAATTTTGCACACTTGCGTAAAATTAGAGACAACGCTTGAATCAATTGACAGAATAAATAATTTTGAAAATTTAATTTTTTCAAATATTAATATTAAAAAAATTAGAAACTAATTTAGTAGAAGAAATTACCGTAGAAATAGAAATAGTACCGTTAGAAATACCGTTAGCGATAACTGATGCTAAAGAAATTGGAATAAAGTAAAATAAATCAACTAAAATTACTAAAGGATGCTAGGAAATTAAAATGTAGGAATTTAGTTTGCAACTGCTAACGGTGGTTCTATTTTTGTGATGCGATAACAAATAGTTAGGGCACAAGAGCGCTCGCTATTCAAACAACCTCAAGGCGTTGATAAAATCGCTCGTGGTATGTGGAGTGCCTCTTCGTGTAGCGCAGCTTACTATTGATGAATGCTGACGCGATGTGGGATTCATATTGTTGTGGTGTTGTGATGTGAGGTCTGCAAACCTCCTGACTACGCAGAAATGAAGCGGTTTTCCCTTTGTTCTTTACGCTTTCATTATTTGACCTCACGTTTTTTTTTAACTGTTATTTTTGTTAGAAAATTGCAGTGTTAGAAGAAATTCGTTTAAATTCTCATCCTAACTATGCTTGATTAGCAAGATCACCGTTGAGATATTTTAAAATTATTAAGTTGCACGTGTTAAAAAAAAGTGTTTACTTTCAAAATCGCAACAAGCCCCTATAGATTCGTTCAAATTTCAAATAAGGAATGCAAGTGAGAGTAAGTTCATTCAGCGTTCAGCTCTAGCTTCTATCAAGGTCTAGACGCACTTTTGACGCTGGGGTATTTAGAAAAATGATAAAATATTTCTTTGGTTTATGAAAGAAATTTGAGATGAGAAAATTTATTACAGATGCATTTTTAGACTTCACGTGTCAATTTCATTAGGAAGGTGAAGCATTTAACATCTTTTACTTTTCCTGCAGACTAATGTTCTGCGTGGGAAAATTAAATTGAAAACTCACACGGAACGATCGCAATTAGAAGTGTAATCGCAAGGAAAGAAATAATTCAAGTCTAGGAAAGCTGAGGAGCAGTTTTCCAGGAAAAACTGTCCGCAATAGAACCGTGGACGTCCGCACTAATTAATTTTAGCGACACACAACAGCTCAGTTTTTTCAAACATTTTAGATGTGTCGTAGAGTAACGAGCTTCCAGAGTTGATGTACACGCGGTTGGACCCATCCTGGCCATCCACTTCGGGGAAGTGCGGTGCCCACGTGAGGTCGGCTGACGGTACGACAACTCCGGTGCTCCATGTGACGTAGGTGCCGTTTGCCAGACGTACAACATCCATGAAAGCCTTGGAGCTCACTCGTATGGCTAACATCGCCTTTTCTGTTTAAAATATATTGTTAAATATTGGAATCTAGATGTAAATTACAAATTTACAAATAAAATAAATCAAATACAGATAAATTATTTAAACAAATTTAATAATTATTCCTCAAATAAATCAATCATATTGTAGTTCTAATTATTTGAAATGAAGGAGGGACGATTAGGATTTCAGCACGTTTACTATATAAATATAAAAGTCTTACACTAATTTCAAACAACCTAACAATTAGTCACGCGACCATGGGCACGATTCAGTGTTTCAGTGTTCAATGTTTTGTTCTGCAACTGCTTACTAAAAATGGTATTTCAGAACTAACGATCATCATAATAGATTACATCGGAACATTTTAAAAGTTATTTCAAAACATAGTTCAGGGTGTGAAATTTGTGGGAAATAATTTCTTGTGAGTAATGTGAAATTGAATTTTCCCCCTTAATAATGGCAGCCTCACCCAGAGGCGAGCGCGGCACCGGCGGGAGCTCCATGCCCTTGTCCAAACACGCCTGACGCAGAACGCTGACATGCAATGAAACACAAGAATATCTTTCATTATGTACAATTTTACGAACCGTACCGTACACGTTATTATTTATTTTTTGTAGAGATTAGTTAGGCCTAAAGTTTTATTAAGTTTATGTTTACAGGATAAAAGCGCCAGGCTGGTCCTCTATGGCGTAGATCTGTGGAGGAAAGTGCATAAGGAGTCGGAATAATGTATAGGAGCAAGTGTAACAATGATTGTTGTCAATGAATAAAAATCAATCTCTTCATACTAGATGTGTTACTCAGCTGACGATGGTGTTACTCAGCTGACGATGGTGTTACTCAGCTGACGATGGTGTTACTCACCCGACTTCTCTTGACACCAGTTTGGGGTATTCGAAAATGTGCAAGTCATCCCTAAGGGGAGCGCGCCTGTAGGCCACCAAAGCATTTCTAAATATGGCGCCGGCGACGGCTTCGTCCACCACCAGATGGCACAGCGCCTGCGAGAAGACATAAAAATTTTCTTCAAAACTCTTTACATTTCAATCTTTCCAGCGTGGATATATTTTTCTTATAATCGCTTCACCACAAAGATGACCTGCAAAACTACCTCCTAGAAACATGTTCTTCGTAAAGGTTTATACACAAAAATTTTCCTTTTACTAATGCCGTTAATAATCATGTCTTGGATCAACATGGTTGGTCTCTTCAGTAACACGTCCGTCGTAAAAATGTCGTATAAACGACTGCCATTCATTAACATGTCCTTAATAACATTTTTCATTCTAAAATAATTTTTTAGCCACCATGAGTGTCAGGTGAAATGCTGGATCGGCCAATATAAGAGGAGTAAGACCGTGCCATTAGCGCTGCGCTTTTTACTCTGATATGAGTCACTTTATTGGAAGAAAGTTTTAATTATCGTTATACGATCAGTAAACGTCAATCTTTTCTGGAACATTTTTCGTAAATTAAATGATATTATGCAGAAAACTAAGAAAGCCTTTTTTTGTGGACGTAAATTTGAGCAAGGGTTTGAGGCGGGCGGATCAGACGCATAATACGTTATAAGTTATGACCCACATTTTTCAGAAGCAAAATTCCCAGCTTGGGCTCTCAACAAGAGAGATGCAAAAAATCCTGACAAGTCCCCCACAAAATTAAATTAAAGCCAGAGTCCAACATACAGGCATGCAATAATCACCATATTAAATACCAGTGTTCATCGATGGCATGCGGCATCAATGCCATAATTCTGGTGCCGGCAGATGCCCGAAAGTAATAATTGAAGAAGAGTTTGTTGATACTCTGTTGGGCAGCGTGGGTGAACAAATTTGGTGTGCGCACCAAATGAGCAAAACGAGACGAAAAATCTAAGCAGGCAGCAATCTGTATAAAACAAGGCCAGATAAAATGCTAGCGACTATTAAATCTGAATATTTATGATAGTTGACTTGAAATGTGTTGAGGAAAAACTGTTCCAGCATTCGCCATTTTAATTTAAATTTTAAGCTCACAATTTTTTAAGAAAATTGTGATTTACGGAGCAAATCCTTAACCTTTAACCTTTAACCGCGCCGACACTTCTATTCTATTCTATCAAGAATAGTTCAGAGTTCGTAACTCCGTCAGCCAATAACTGACGGTATCTCAAGCTCAACCTATACCTATCACAGACGACAAGAAACTTTTTATGATACAACCCCTAATTGCTATCGCTGCTCTGCGAAGTTGCCAAAGGATATTGAGTGCCAAAACTTTTAGAGGCCTGAAATTGCATCACTACACGCCACGTACTAGCGTGACCTGTAGAAATTAATGGAACTTGGTACTGCCATTATGCAAGTTATAAGCAGCAGAATAAAAGTTAGTACTACCAGAATACAAGAGAGTTGTACCAGAATACAAGAGAGTTATACCAGAGTTGAAATAAGACCGGCAATGAACAAAGATTATTTAAAACGATAAAGAGAAATAACCATCGTTTTCACTTAGAAGGGGCTCATAAATGCCTTTAATTTATAATAATTGTTTAGGTTTTTCATGGAGACGAGGAATTGTGTCTGGATTCAGAGAGAGGTTAAGAATTGAATCATCGTTCGGAGAAAGTTTATAGGAGCTCTACGTATGAACTCTATTTATACATGTTCTTCACAAAAAAGTGGAACGCTCATGAAAATATTTTAAAAATTTTTTGTAATTTTATTAAACGTTGTGTTAATGATGTAAAAGTAAGTCTTGCTTCACATAATTTAATCTGTCAATAAATAAATCGCTAGCATTAAAAAATATATATATTAACGAAAAAGCTGCATTCACGTCAAGCATATCATCAATTATGAAGATAGAGCGATTATTCTATTTAAGTGAGATTAGAAGTTTAACATACACAAATAAATATAAAGTTTAGCTAACACGAATAATCTTGCCCAAATCTTAATTCTTCACTTTAACGAAATTTCAGTTGAATTTTGGTCATCAAATTTAGGCGTACATTTCGTATTTCAAAACCACGGCCAAGGGCCTGCAAGTGAGTGCTGAAGTCGACCACATCACACACTCATCACCCACATTCACCACACTCAGCACATCACACACCACACTCTCATGGCGGTGTCTGCCTCGTAGTCCGACAGGGTCCACAGAGAAAGAACTCCGCCGCTCACCAGAGTGAACATCACGCTAGCCACTGCCGTCATCTTGATGCGAAAACTGGAATTCTATAAAAAAAACATTGTTCGATAAACTTCATTGTTAATTTATATTTCCTAATCAGTATCGCGAGCCTTCTAAAAAAACACGGTTCCTTCTTTAGCCCTAAATTTAAATCCAAAAGATGATTAACAATATATTTCATCTAGCACGCAATCTGACTCGAACGTATTGCACATGGCAATAAATTTTGCTTAGGAAGTTAATAGTCATGATCGTTCCCTTCTTACGAACTGACGGTATCGCGATGTTTTTATATACAATGGCTAAAAGTAACTACATAAGCAGCCTCTCAACTTTCCATTACACGATTATTCTCAGTTCTGGTGAAACATTTTGCCAGGACAAAAAATAAACTCTTGTTAGAAGGCTGACTTGAAGTACGCCCAGACGAGCAAGTAAAATCCGAGTTATTAGGAAATTTTTTCACGGCTTGTCTCTCTGGGCAATTGATTGTAATTACTAATTTTTCTGTTTAAAACCAATTATCGCATTTAAATTTAATGTGCGTGCGCTTACTCAAGTTCCAGACCTAATGATATTATTGTACATGTACAATATTTACTCTGGATTTGCGCTCGAGAAAACTCTAAATATTTTCAATCTCATCACTCGACAACATTGCGACGTTCGATTTGATATTCGCCTGGCGAAAAACTATCGTCTTTCTACTTCCATGATATTTTTTAAACTAAATTCATGTGCATTAAATGGAAGTTTTCATAAATGATGCCACCAGATTCATGCACGGTATCACAGATACAATTGTGACGCATGACCAACAAATGACGTCAATATTTTTCAGTGAAGGTGAGAGTAAAATATTCGGTGATGTCTGCGGTGGCTGGACACCAAACCAACGTACAGGCATTAAATAGTTGTTATCATTAGTATACAATGGTAAGAAAAACGTTATTTATATTCTAAATGTGAGGCGATGAAAAAAACATGTGCGTGAATGATGAATTCAATATTTAAATTTCATAATTTATTTCAGGTTACGTTTTTTTAACTGGATTAACTTTAAATGCATTTAGTTGTTTTCGACATTAAAAAAAATAAATTCATGAAAATTAACCCTTATTGACATCCTATGAATATTGTGCACGGAATTTTTTTTTTTTTGACCAGTAGCAGGTTAACCCCACTGGCTACAGCTGCAGATAAAAGCAGAGTGACGGGAAATCGTAACAAGTTAACATCATTCAGTAAAGAAAGCTCGGCCTGAGTGGCAGGTAAACATAACAAATTTTACCACAGTCGCATGTGAACTAAACGTGGTATTTAAAACACGCGTGACTGGTGAACCTGCGTTGCAGGTTACCAATCACGTACTTGTGTACAATCAGTACTGATTGTACCGATTGATTGTACACAAGTACCAATCACGTACTTGTGTATACAAGCAGTACTGATTGTACCGATTGATTGTACACAAGTACCAATCACGTACTTGTGTATACAAGCAGTACTGATTGTACCGATTGATTGCCAACCAATCACATACCAATCACGTACTTGTGTACAAGCAGTACTGATTGTACCGATTGATTGCCAACCAATCACATACCAATCACGTACTTGTGTACAAGTAGTACTGATTATACCGATTGATTGCCAACCAATCACATACCAATCACGTACTTGTGTACAAGTAGTACTGATTATACCTGTCTCTTATACACATCTAGATGTGTATAAGAGACAGCTTGTGACGCGCTCTCAGTGGGAAGAGCCCCNTGTATAAGAGACAGGGATATTTGTCAGGGGTAACTGTCTCTTGGCACATGATTCATTTTATGACAATATATGTCATGGGTAACTGCCTCTTGGCACATGTTCATTTTATGACAATATTTGTCATGGAAATTGTCTCTTGGCACATGATTCATTGTATGACAATGTTTGTCAGAGGGTAACTGCCTCTTGGCACATGTTCGTTTTATGACAATATTTGTCAAGCGTAACTAACTCTTGGCACATGATTCATTTTATGATATGACAAGGACTGCAAGATGTCGTGCATTTATGTTTCACATGGAATCTAAAAATAGAGAAAACACCTATTCACTATATCTTCACTGTAAACATTTCGGAGACCAGCTTCATCATCAATTAAACAATTATATAAAAAATCAGATGGAAAATGTAATCACGCTTACAATGATGGGATAAAAAAATTAGTAGAAAGACCGCTAAAGAAATGAATTCATTTAATTATGATTAGCTTGCTACTATCTATGGATTCGATACTTTTCGTTTTTTTTAAGTAACTTACGGGAGTAATGGCTTTAGAATTAGAATAAGGATAATAACTTCTACAATAACTTAGCATTAAACGAGGTACATTGACGACCTTCATGAATGTGTTGCTGGGTATATTGATTAACAGTGTGAATAATTTGTTGGGATATACCAAACAATTTAAAAATGATGCAGGAATTATCTAAGTATTCCAGATTTAAACTTGTGCCCTTTAAACTCTTTATTTAAACTGGCGACAAATTGAGGGGCAAGCGTTTGATGTGAAACTGAACGAACCACCAACTGAGAAGTACCTAACTAATGTACATAACAAAATAGCGTTTAAATTTAATCTTTCAATTATATATGATCGATTTTATTTTCTGCCTTTTTGCATTTTTTATTGTAAAAATTATTCTACTCTCTGTATTGCTCTCGTATTAGTGTAGCGGATCGTTTGTACCTAAATTTGTGTTAATTTTATTAATTAACAAGATCGTGGTGCAATACATTGTTTGTTACAAGTTAGGTTACGTGTATTTCTAATGTAGGTTTTTAAGTCGCCTTGACGCTCACTATGCTTTGTTGGGTTGGAGAGCTTAAACTTCGTGAAAAAGTAAGCTGTAAGTTGAGTTTTGTATTAAAATACTAATAGTTGACGGGCGAATGTTTTTTCTGTACGTGTTGAATGATAGTGAGCAATTTGTACACAAATGAAGATGCTTTTAACAATGTAGGAAGAAAAAAGTTATGCTGCAGAAAAATTGCAGATACAATTTTTTTGCAGTTCGCTGTCGTCTGGGCTGTGAGCCTGGGAGTCGTTGCTTGTTGGTGCAGAAATGAGCGGTCAACACGCAGGCAGCGGTCTGGCAGCCCAGCCAGCCTCTCACACTCAGAGTCTCAGAGTCAGACCTCAGTGTCGTACGAACTATCCTAGGTATTATGTGTGCGTGTGTTGCGATGGCGAAGCGAATGTTTTAAATCAATGTCAGAAATAGAGAGCATAATGGGAAGTATGCGGTTGTTTTACGTTCAATGTTTGTCCAGTGGAATATAAAGCAAGGTTTGAAAACAAACTTTCTATAAGAAGTAATACAATGCATGTCAATCACGACACTGACGACAGTAGCGTATGAGTGCATGTGCAAGTGCAACCATGCACCGAACAACTCGTTGCAAACAGTCCGGAAACTGAAAAATTGACGACGCTGATAGCATGCTCTTACTTTTTATTCTGCATATTACAATGTTCTTACTATTTTCAGTCGATGAATCAGAATCTTCTTTGGAACATTACTGAGTTTAAAAAAATAATGAAGCGATTCATTAACAACATGTAAAGGTTCTGTAAATAACCCTTATCATTGTTATCATTGCGTCCTACTGCACGGCACAAAACCCCGCGAGAGTTGCCAGCTAAGGTTTATTTTTGGGTACGTTAGCTAATCGATAACGATAAGTAATTGTGAATGGTGTTATAAATATTAGCTTTAACTATTGAAAATCACACACGACTTAGTTTGGTTTACTCATGTATTGAAATGCAAAGAGAGAGCAGAGATATGCCTCAAATGGTGACCCAATACAGGTTTATCTTATGCCAGGGCACGGCTGCCAAAGATACGACGTGTTAGATATTCTTAGTGTTCAAATCTTTCAAATGTCTATCGTGTGAACATTTTATGTGAATAGTTACTGAACACTCATTAAATAAAGAATAAATTTGAGTCAGTTCACTATCGTATCACAATAGCAGCACATAATCACGCTGGTGCTCATCCATCAGCTGAGTCAGTTCACTATCGTATCACAATAGCAGCTCATAATCACGCTGGTGCTCACCCATCACTTGTAAGATTCTAATTCGTCTTAACTAATTTCCTGTAATTCGCAGGTCACTAGGTACGCTGCGACTCGGTCCTAGCTCGCCTTCGTCCTAGCAGCTTTTCTTCCCTCACGCGGTCGGATGTTCAACTAGAATATAATCTTCATGGATCCCCCATACTGGATTCAAATTTGAATGGATCTTTGGAATGTGGACAGGACTGGACAGAAATTTGATATTTGACTGCCAAAATAGATTTTTCATGGTGTAATCATCACTAGGCCTAACGTGCACAAATCCTGGTGAAATTACTTTCAGTGTATTCTGAAGAGCTTGTGATCGCAAAGGTGAGGCGAATAACCAGAAGCGTGTCAGCATTCAAAAGTTTGAAAAACCAATCATGGGGTCGAAAACGTCTAAGCAGGCTACCAGTTCATCCACAGCATCCACTTCCACGTCAACCCAAAACGCATTCACGGCAAGCGGTGCTTTAACTACATGTCCATCGTCGCCCGTTTCCTCTTCAACTCCTGTTACTACATCATTGCAATCAAGCTGCATTTCTGCGCAAGCCCTTGCTCCTATTGCTGTACCATCAGCAACAACATACCCAGCTGTTGCTGTAGCATCAGCTGCAACATCCGCCGCTGTTGCTGTATCAGCAGCTGCAACCTCCGCCGCTGTTGCTATATCATCCGTAGCAACATCCGCTGTTGTTGCTGTGTCAGCAACAACATCCACCGCTGTTACTCTATCATCAGCTGCAACATCAACTTCTCTGGTTACTCCAGCAGTGACTACGACAATACCAGTTCCAACAGCAGGTGTAACAGACATCACATGCGAGGACATCAACGCGTTGAAGCTCTTCATGGCTCTGCGCAGAGGCAGTCCCGTGTGCCAAGTATTCGCTGCTGTTTTCGAAACTCTGTCTGGTCGCGGGAAAAAAACGCTCTACGAGTATTGTTCTAATTATGCATACACAAGCACTGATTACTTTAAATTGTTCAATGAAAATGAAAGAAAGAAGTTGGACCTGAACACTTTGGAGGATTATGACATAACACTGTTGTTCAAGCTCCTCCGCAAATGCTGTGGTTTGAATGCCTCTTTCAAATTTTGGGAGCAGCCTGGAGACTCAATAGAATACAAGCTCCATCGCCTGACACATCACCGCAATTGCTTTGCTCATGAAGTCGGGAAATTATCGAAGATTGAATTAGAATCAAAACTGCAGGACATCAGACAGCTTTCTGATGAAGTCTGTGACTTGGCAGGAGTTGATATAGGCACCAAGAACAGGCTTCTGGCTGAGTTAGATAACATCGTCCTGGCGCAAAGTTTAAAGGCAGAACTTGCTGACGGTATTGCTCAGATGAAAGCATTTAAAGAAGACGTTCAAGATGGCATCCTGGAGAACAGCTTATCTGAGCTAAAAGAAAGATACAGCGAAATGAGAGTTATATCTCCCATTACTTGGTTCGTCAATGACGAGTTACAGAGCATCACCATCGACAAAGTGTTCACTAAACTCACTATGAGTCACAGCAACACCATCGTTGATATTGAAAAACTTCTCCAGTTGAGAGACCGGCATGGAGCCGACTGTTCCACCGTAGTCATCACCGGCATTGCAGGTTCTGGAAAAACTTCGCTGTGCAGGTTCCTCATTTACAGCTGGTCAGGACAAACCGGTGAGGTTGAGGAGCTGGACGACTGCAAACTGCTAATTTTTATTCAATGCCGGTATGTTAAGTCAAATGGTTTCGCTGCATTCATAAAGGAGGATCTACTCAAAGGCTCGTTTTATTTGGTACCCGAGGTGGAAGTTATCGAGATGCTGCAGAGGTTTAAACCATTGTTCGTCATCGATGGTTACGACGAAGCTGACAACGCAGTCCAAAATCTAGTCCTCGAAATACATCATAAATTTCCTTCGAATAAGAAACTCATCACCTCAAGACCTCACATTTATGCATATTTGTCAGCCAAGCTTGTGCACAACCATGCTTGTTCCAACCTAATTAATCTTAAAATCATGAGCTTTGAAACTGACTGCATCGATGAATACTCTCGCAAACTATTCTCTGTACTGAAAAACTCTTCCGGAGCAGACGACTTCCTCGATTACATATTGCGACGGAACAAGTTGCAATCTATCATTAACTTACCGCTGACTCTGGCTTTACTTATTATACTTTGGATTGACGATCATTCCCAGGTTGACGAGGTATCTACTGAGGGCCAAATCCACGTCAAGATCATCGAGATGATGAAACGTCGCCTTACAATGCGACTCTGTGATAATTCATCTGTAGCCAGATCAAACTCCATGGAATTAGAAAAATACGTTAATGTCTGGTTGCACCTTTTGGGGAAGATTGCTCTCGAAGGCATAACTAAGCGACAGCTATTTTTGAACGAAAGCAGCATGCACTTGCTTCAAACAAGGTTCGAATCAACTTTACACAAGTTTGACGTCGAGGACGCCATGTCTTCCATCCTGCAGTGCGACACAAGCATCACCCTCTCCAGCTGCGAGAAGATTTGGTCCTTCATCCACACCACGCAACAGGAAATGATGGCGGCTCTCTATGTCGTCAAAGAAGTTGAAGATGGTAGTACTTTCGCCAAATGTATTCCTGTGCTTCCAGGATTTTGCCACGAACAAATGAAAAACATGATACAATTTTCGATTGAAATTTTGAAAAGCCGAGATACGTTGACTGAAGAAAGCGCCGAATTCATCACTTCGAAATTTCCTTTAAGCTCTAACGAAAATATTCTCTTCGTTGGTTCTATTCTTAAAGTTGTCAATAATGATGCCGTTTTTGTTAAAATATTAAAAAATAGCTTGGATACTAGTTCAATGACTGCAGTTTTATCTTTCGAATGCATGCAAATCATAGCCGACTTTATGCAGCAGAAAATTCTGGACACCCAACTTGAAGTAACTTTTAATGCACCGGTAGACAGTTTCCAAGACGCCCTAAGAAAGCTCAATGGTGTTGGATGTTCGCCAACTTTGCTAATCATTATTGAATATAATATTACCAACGACATTATTGAATCTTTCATCAAGTTTCTGGAAACTGAAAAGAAAGGCTTAAAAGCCAGCTTCATCTTTATCTTCGGATTGGGTTTTAGTGCCGAAATGATAGATGAACTGGTCAGAGTGTGGGATTGGGAAGAACCACTGCAGTTCGGTGGTTTAGCTGACTCAGATGCCACCCATGCCCTTTTTTTAGTTCAGCGAGCCCTGAAAATAGAAAATATCGAAAAAGTAACTTACTCGTCTCCTAAAAGTTCGATACGGGAACCTGGCAATGTCATCGACAATCTGATGAAACGCGGGGTCAAAGTCGAAGAAGCGCCTTTCATGAGCAGATTTTTGATAACTGTCCACAAAAAGCTGTGACTGAGCTCAAATCGGCGCGTTTTTTCACAAACGCACACAGAAGCTTACATTTATTTACTATTTAACAAGTTACTTTTAAATAAACTAGTCTTTCGAAAGCAACAGGCTACTCTTACAATGTACATTAGCCTTCATAACGACATCTTCACATCATTCAACGGTCTTCTCTGCTTGAATAAAAAGAACAAAATTCGGTACTGTAGAACGCAAATCAGATATAGCCGAACGGGAAACAAAATTTTGATTCTCAAGAGTCCTTCATATTAGCTGCCATGCTTTCGCTCCTGCAAGTTTCCAGTACGTACAGATTTAAGTTCAGCGAACCGTCGTTAATGCGTTCTTTTCAACGCCTTCCTCGAACGTTAAATCGGACTTGACCAGCTGTCTTTCCCAGCAAGCGTATCAGGATGTAACCAATGTAGGTCGAGATATTAGAGAACTTGCCTGCCGCTATTTGTCAAATACCAGTGCCGCTGTCTACTATTTCTTTATTTATTACTACTTTATCGCCAAAATATACAATTTTTATTTTAAAATAAGGTGTAGACATATAAGGAAAGATATAACTACTTGGCAGTAAGTATTGTAATTCAGCCTCCAATATAAAACTTTTATTTTAAAATAAGGTGTAGACAAATAAGGCATGATATAACTACTTGGCAGTAAGTACCAATTGTAATTTAGCCTCCATAGATCTCAACAGCATGGAAATCCGTCAGTTGTTCCCCTACTCACTCTTGTCCTAGTTTGTTATCTTGCTTGGCGGTGGCGGCTACTGAGTGGCAATAAATCTAAAAAAAAATTCTCGCGTTTACCTCTCATAAACCCAAAGGATTCTTTACACCGACTTGCTTGTTGCATTGCTCGCTGTCATTGTGCTTTATGTCTAGCCTTGCGTGAGGTCTTCCACCTCAAGATTATTGTTGCTTTCTCCCGGCCACGCATTCGTGATCCAGTGTTCATACGAGACGGCGTAATATTCATTCCGTAAGGTACAGAGTCTGTAACTTGCGCTATGCCAGAGCGTATAAATAAGAGCTCTTTCGTTTATGTGTGTTATTTCTGAAGTGAAATGAATATAATATTGCTTGTATAAATTTTATACCTTGAAGGTAGTGCAGCAATGACATTAATTCATTGTTACTTTTTAAAATTACATTCTAAATGTGCGATGATTATTCTATCTAGTATCTAGGAGGCAATGTTGCAATTTCTTTTATTTGCTGAGCGGTCGGTAAAATTTTTACGGCTGCTCTTGTGTTTTTATGAAGGCTTGTAAGGCTTGGCTGAAGGCTTGTAATGTCAGAAGCACCCCAGCCTGATCTCTGTCAAGGGCTCCGGCGTTAGAATACCGGCGTCTTGCCATGCACCAGCACAGTCAGACCGCAAAGTTGCTCTTCTGTGAATTGCCAAATTTGGTGGAATTGTAACAGTTTATAGATGGACGTGAAGGCAAGGCCTATTGTCGTGTTGTTTGTTCACGTCAGTGTTGCGTTATGTACGTTGGCTATAAATAGCGTGCTGATGACATCGTTTGAGCCCTGGCATAGTAATTGGTTTAAAAAAGCTATTTAATTGACATTTGATTCTAATTTATTACGCTCTATATATTTTTTATGTTTTACATGAAATTTTTTTACGATGCTTGTTTTATTCATTCACAGATTAAAGTCGCAAAGTCGCTTGGGACAAAATCAATCATGGCTGACAACTTTGGCCCTAATCATCGTCTCGTTAGTCTTTTAAAAGTTTTAGTACGATAACGAAAACTTATTATTTCTAGTTTGTTCGAAACGTCACTTTACGACAATGTATAAATCGATAATTTTGATGATCACTCAAAGAAAGATAATGAGTATCATTAGCTATCTCGTTTGCCCAGCTGAGATTGTTTTAATCAAACTTGTAGCCAGTTATTTGCAAGAAGAGAAAACTAACTATGAGTGAGCTTCACACGAACTCGTCACATTCCTGTCGCAGTAGCAAAACTGCGGGACGTAGAGCTCCAGCAGGTTGTCCTGGTAGTGTTCCATATCTATAATCCGTGTGAAAGGAAAATCCCCTTTTCCGATCGCCTTCGGTGTCATCATAATAAAAATAATCGACTTAAAGGAGTCTAAACTGAAGAAAGGTCATTCAATGTTAGATCAACGATGAATAATTGTCAAAATGATTTTGATGAAACTTTGAAATGAGCTGGGCCAGCTGGTTATTGCGGAGAATTTCCCCCTACTCGTAGGAGCATTTCTACAGCAAATCTATGGCATGTTTAAGGACTTGTGACAGGATTGTTATCAATTTATGCTCCGCATTGTGTCAGAATCGACAATTTTGCATTTTCCATATCTATAGCGGGACAATGAGAATAATATACGTCAACTACTTAATTTCGATTGTACATTGTTTGTTTTCATTCTATCCCGATTAAAACTTATTGGTAGATTAAAAAGGCTGACGAGTTTTTTTATTTTTATACAATCGGTGAAAGTTTGAAGCGAGTTCATTCAAAATTCAATGATAAACAAGTGAACAAGTTTTGTTGACATTTCTTTTGTAGAGTACAAGTTTCGCTTGCCGTATGGCCAATTAGTAATAAATCTTGAAAAAATGGCCAATTCCTGGAGTCGATAGCTTAGGGCAAAGAATATCTATTCAAAATTTTCGCAGGCAGGAGATGCCGAGTGACCGCTTAATAAATGCCTATTTAACAGTGTGAAAAAAGACGAAGTCAAGTGACCGTTTGAAGAACGCTTATAAGTTATACAGGGTGAAAAAGACTAAGTCAAGTGACCGTTTGAAGAACATAAGTTATACAGTCTGGCAGGGTGGAAAAAGACGAAGCCGAGTGATCGATTGCAGAACGCGTATAGGGTGGAAAAAGACGCTAATTTACGTAAAGTAGATAATGCGGCATTTTGTTTATCTTATAGATTTTGCAGCGGATAGTGTATGCTCATCAAATGCAGAACATGTGCAAAATCCGTGCTTTCAATGTGGTGCTCTAAACGTGTTAGTTTAATTACGGATCACTTTATAAGAATAAGACAAATGTCATTGTAGCTACTTACGAACACTTTGGTATTAAAGGTCAAGTTAGAATTTAGGCTAGAAATAGCAATACTGAAATTTTCACATTTTAACTTGATCGAGATTCGCCTGTCTAATAACTTTTATCTACACGTTTCAGTTTATTTTAGAGCCTTTCAAATTAGAATAAATGAGTCAAGAATATTCGCATAAATATCATCTTAAAATATAGAATTTTAAGTCTTTATATTTATGAGCAATATATCTATCAAAACAACTAATGATGCAGCCGGTGTGCCAGTGGCCCAGTATGCTATTAATTAAATAGGTGAAAAACGAGTACCCTGCCTGTAATGAAGACGTAATTCATTGCCTGTAATCAAGAAGTACCGTAATGTTTTGCATAACAAAATAATTACCATTTTATGTTAAAAATAATTGGAAGATAACCCAGTGGCCAAGTATATAAACACTAAACTGAATAAAAAGACAGCTTGATCGGAAACTGCTGCTCGACTTGAGAGAGCGCAGCCGTGCGCCATTCATAAATTCAACTCGTTTGCTACCCCTTGCGGTATTATTGCAGATTAACTACATCCAAAAAAAAGGGTGTTTTTTTTTCCCCAAAAAACATATAATTCAAAAAAAAAAAAACACCCTTTTTTTTGGATGTAGTTAATCTGCAATAATACCCCCCTTGCAGCATAAACTCCCAGCCAAAACTATAGATAAAATCAGCGTTGGAGTTAATAGGTATAGTCTTTAGTCTTCAATTTTTGCTAGTTTGTAGTAACATTTACGGGAGTAAAATGAACTTGTTCTTCTCTTGCGTAACCCTCAAAAACGTTAGTTAAGAAATTCTGTGCAAAATAGTACTGTGCAATTTCCTCAAAAACGTTAGTTTAGAAATTCTGTGCAAAAAAGTACTGGATACTTTCCAGCTGCAAATCACTTCTTCAACACGATCTTTCGTTAGGTCACGAAAGCTTTGGTTCATTTCTGGAAATTAAACGTACATACACAAACCTAAGAGTTCACCAAACTGTTGATTTTACCCTCCCAACTTCCTTCTCGCTGCTCATGAGTTGACCACAGTGACCTAATTTAATAGATATAGACCCATCTTGGCCCCACCTCCATACTTAACAGTCTCTTGACTTTACCAGCAGCCAATGAAATAGGTTAGTTTGAGAATGTGGCGATACGGCCATGAAATGATTATGTTTGTTAAGTGAGGAGAGGTGTAAGCAGTGTCCGAGGACGGGAATTCGCTAGTACTTTCCCAGTCAAGCAGCATTGTGGGCAACGAAGTCGATTATTGCGGGTTATGTCATAACGCGGAAGATCCGCCCACTCGATGATTTGGCCGTCGAATTCTCTTTCCCCGGATACGAGCTGGAGCGCAGGGACCACCCCGGGGGTCACGGTGGCGGCCTCCTCATCCTGATTCGCCACGATGTCCCGTATACCGGGGAGACATCTCTCCCCTCCAACGCGGCGACACCACCATGGAGGCTATAGCTATCTCCACTCCGCTTAATGGCTCCTCTCTCTGCATCATCACCGTTTAAATCCCACCGGCCTCCTCCTGCCCCCCGGGATATTCCCCGGAAATCTGACATTGTCTCCATACCGGGCGACAGCCTGATAGTTGGCGACTTCAACGCCATCATCCCTCTTGGTTCTCCCATACGGAAGACCAGAGAGCCGCAGCGCGAGGAGCCGTAGTCGAGGAAGTATATCTCTATGGCGTAGATCTGTGGAGGAAAGTGCGTGAGGAGTTGGAATAATGTACTGTAGCAAGTGAAACAATGATTGTTGTCAATGGATAAAATCAATCTCTTCATACTAGATGTGTTACTCAGCTGACGAAGGTGTTACTCAGCTGACGGTGGTGTTACTCAGCTGACGGTGGTGTTACTCAGCTGACGGNGATGTGTATAAGAGACAGGATTAATGCAGATTCGGCTAAAACTACTTAAGATTCGACTTCGATCGATGCAGATTATTCGATTCAACAAATTATCAGGTGCAGAAACTTCGACGATCTTCGCTGAATCGTCATAGAAAGTTCCTCAATAATCGTCGTCGCGCCCCGTGACATTGCCCTCTCCGTTGCCCACTCCAAATGGGGGTTTGCACATGTCGATCGAGCAAGAATCTGCATTAATTTCTTCATCGATCCGCCCTAATCTTCATCGATCGATCAAGACCTGATTGACTGGGTTAGCGCTTTTGCATGGGCTTATATGCCATATATCATGCTTGTATACGGAAATAAGAAGTACATATAGAGTTGTGCGTTGTTGGACTTCATCAGGACCTCCGGTTTTGTTGGGCTTTATCAAGACCTCCGGAACTATCCTGGACATGTTAATATAGTTCATGATATCTTCACTATTGACACATTACGCTTATTAGCCTCATGTAATCAATTTTTTTGGCATTGCGACAATTTTTTGAACTGTTCTTCATATGCTAAAAAAGTTTACTAGTCGAGACTGAATGTACCGTTGCTGAATGTTAATGTGAAGTGTCGATCGCTGCTACTCATGTCATTTGGCGTCAGCCGGCAGAGAATATGGCTGGAGAGGCTCAAGGCGGTGGAATAATTTGTATTTCAGCGTAGCCATGGTTATTAATTTTGGCCTGGAAGAAAGTAATGTACCGTCCCGCCACGCTGGTGTTGGTGTAAAAAGTGTACGTTGACCATGCCGGCGTGCCTCCGTAAACTCGTCCTATTTTCTCTCCGAGGGTAAAGTCACTCGTGTTGCTGAGGATCACGTCCATGTCAGAAATGTGATTGTAGAAAGCCGTGGCAGCGATCACTGTCTGCACTCGAGTTATTTGTTCCAGGTCTATCTGCGAGTAGCTGTTTGGTAAGTACTGCGTAGCGAAGTATCCGGGGGATGCGCATGCGTATCCATCGGTTGCAGCCTTAGTGGAGAATCCTGGGAGAAGAGTGGAGTAATCGACAGGAGAGTTTGTCTTCACGATGTCCCGGGGGTCCCCCCACGACGTGTAGCAAGCGTCGTACTTTGTTCCTGTCGTCGAAACCGGATCACCCGGCCATCTCACGGCAACGAAAGCCGTGAACATTGCGCACGTACCTGTACATGTTGCCAAGTCAGTTCCGGTAAATAATCAAATACAGTACAGCAATGCCTTCCTTCAATTAAAAAATAGATCAGTACTCGCTGCAGTGAGTGACAGTGAGCGCATTTTCTCACGTCCGTCCCTTCGTCACGGACGAACATGACGAGCACAACAGCGTCTTTTTTCCATAAATGAGAAAATGCGCTAAAAAATGCATTCAACCTTGAGGCAGTGCTAAAGAACGAATAATACTCATATCTTATTCCTTACTATTGATGCCAAAACAACAGCAAAATCTAATCTATTCTAACATAATTACGAAAAACATTTTGACGGAAAATATATTTAATCGCGGCGAATTTTCTGGCAAGGAAGAAGGCACTCATTCCTCTCCTACGCCCAACGCCAGTCGATCCAGTCTGTCTCTCCTGGCTACACAACTTCAGAGGCT